CAGCAGCTGGCACCCAGGGGGCCGACGCAGCAGCAGGGCTGCAGCTGCAGCAACAGCAGCCTCACACGTGCCAATACAGCTTGCAGCCTTCAGCTGCCTCCCTGGGTTTTACTGGACGCTCCCTGGGTCTTCTCGGATACGATGGGGCCTAGGAACAACCAAGGTCCCACCCGTCGCTGGCCCTCGTGCCTGCCACGCAGTGAGGACGGCCCGCCAGTCAGGCAGGGCTCTGGTGTCTTCCTTGCTCGGTACTGTCCCTGGATGCGCTGGGCCCTCTTCAACTGTGGTTGGCGCCACCGGTGCGAGAGACAACTGGCAGAGTGGCTGGAGCTCCGGCTGGCACGACGACCAGTGGCAGTCAGGCGGCAAGCGTGGCGGCGGCAGGCCAGACGATCGTGGCGAGAAGGTGCTACGGTGGGGCGACTGAGCCCCCCCCCCCGTCCCCAAGAGTTTCAGGTGTAGCGTCCGATTTCCACGCTCTGTGCAGCCTTCAGCTGCCTCCCTGGGTTACGTTTCAGAACCGTGCTCTCGCTCCCTGGGTTTCCCCAAGATACCACGGCCTTCAGCCGCGCTTCTCCGCCTTCCCTGGGAGCGACCCTGAGCTTGGGCTTATCGGCGGTGGGTCTCAACGCTGCTCAGGCGGTCTCCGTGCGTTGTGGTACGCCCCGCTTCGTTGGCTGGAGTGCCCACCCGGAGGTCGCTGCGGCCGCACTCGGACTCTGGGTCGCAGGTGTGTTCCCGTGCATGACTTGCCACAGTTTGGCAGCGGTCGGCCCGTGCCGCGCCCACACCTGTGGCTAGTGGTGCACCGCTCGCCGCAAGGATCCGCGCGCACTGGCGTCGCCCCATCGTCGCCCCCACGCTCAACCTTGTTGAGCGGTCACTTCCTGGGCTTCTTCGTGGCTGCGGACGGTTGCTTGTGCTGCAGCGGGCACGCGTCAGCGCAGCTTTCTCAGAGCGTTATTGCCACTCTTTCTGGTCCGCCAGGGGATCCTGGAGAGCTGCTCTTCGTTATGTCACTTAGTTGCTTCCTGGTGCACGCCCTGTCATCTTCGGTTGGCCCTCGTGTCTCGCGCCGAGGTCGGGCACAGGTGTACTTTCCGCACTGCGTCACTTCATGTCGTTGATCTTTAGCGTGCGAACGCATCCTTCCGCAGTTGTTTTGAGGGTCGACGTGCATCGGTTGGTCACTGACTTCAGTCGTGCCTTTACAGCCGCGTTGGTGCGTACTCTGAAGCTGCGACGGTTCGCTGGCGCCGTCAGAGTCCCTTCTTCCCGCAGGATGCCTGCGTCAGCTCTCTCGCCTACGGTCTCGCTCATACCCGGCAGACACCCTGGGCTCTCTGACACTTTTCTTGCACGGACGACGTCAGCTCTCTTGCCTACGGTCTCGCTCATACCCGACAGACACCCTGGGCTACTGACGCACTTCTTGCACGGAAACTTCCTGGGTTGCTTCGTGACTACGATTGCTTGTGCTGCAGTGGGTATGCGGCAGCACAGCTTTCTCCGAGCGCGTTTTCTTCTTTCTGGTCTTTCAGATTCTCCCGGAGAGCCGCTCTTTGTTATGTCACTTAGTTGCCTCCTGGCACACGCCCTGCCACCTCGGATGCCGTCGGGTCTCTCGCCGAGGTCGGGAGCAGGTGTACCTTTGCACTGCGTCACATCATGTCGTTGATCTTTCGCGTGCGAACGCATTCTTCCGCAGTTGGTTTGAGGGTTGACTCCGGTTGTCAATGACCTCAGGCGTGCCTTTTCAGCCGCGTGGATGCGCGCTCTGAACTGCGACGGTTCGCTGGCGCTGTCAGAGTCCCTTCTCCCTGCTGGACGACGTCAGCTCTCTTGCCTACGGTCTCGCTCATACCCGACAGACACCTTGGGCTACTGACGCACTTCTTGCACGGAGTCAGATCCCCACTGCCCTGTGATCGTCGGACCGACGCGATCCTTGACTGGGGGTGTGCGTCGCGCCATTTTGGCAGCGTCCTTCCTGCTTCCTGGGTGGCTGTTTCCCGTCAGACTCCCTGGGCTGCAGCTTGCGCCGCCGCCTGATCCGCGGCCCCCGCGCGCGCCCGGCGAATTCGTCACGGCCGCAGCCCGACCGTGACCCGCCGCCGCCGGCGCTTCCGCCTGCGGCTTTAAAAAAAATATCCCCACCAGTTCCGTAGCCCCCCTGGCTCAAGCCATTTCTCGGGGGGGCCTCCTCCCCCGGGGTCGGGGCTCGAGGTGGCCGGCGCGGCCTGGGCGGCGCGGCCGGGCCGCGCGCTTCCGCCGCCGCCGCCGCCGCCTCGGCATGGCTGGCCTTCCTGAGACGCCCGCGGCGCGGCGGCGGCGGCAGGCTCGGAGGGCGATGGCCCGCCGGCTGGTGGCCGCTGCCGCCGCGCGCGTGCCGCCGGGTCTCCCCGGCGCCGCCGGCGCCGCTGGGGCCGCCTCCGCTGCGGGCGCCGCGCGCGCCGCCGGCGCCGCCGTTCCTGTCAGCGTTCGGCGTCGTCGGCCTTCGTTTCCACTACGTGCAGCAGGCGCCCCAGATTGGTACATAGTTGTCTGTTTGGGTAGTTGCTCGGAGCTTGGCGCCGCAAGGGCGACTTTCTCCGCATTTCCCCATCCCCAGCATTCGCACTGCTGGCCGCTTGTTCACTTCGGTGTGGCTGGCGCCTATGTGCGTCTGCCTCTCGAATGCGGATCATTTTGCTCTGTGCATGTGCACCTGACGCATCGCGTGTAATTTGCCTTGATCCGTAGTCCCGGACATCGCTGTCGCCGCCAGACCGTGGTCGCGCGGCCGCCGACCAAACAAAACATATATCCCCACCAGCTGGGGATAGGCTGCTCGGAGGTCTCCCCCTCCACGGGCCGACCCTCTGCGTCGTCTGCGGCTGGCACCGGTGGGCCTCTTCGCAGCAGGACGGCACTGTGGTGCTCGGACACCCAACTCTGCGGTGGAGTTCAATGGCTGCGCGCCGAGTGGTTCAGCCTTCCGCGCCTTCGGCCCCTTGTTTTCCGCCGCCAGCAGCCTGTTACCCGGGCTCGTGCATCGTTGCTAGCCAGGTCGGCTGCGCGGAGCTTGGCGCCACAAGGGCGACTCACTCCGTTGCGCTCGCACTCGTGGCCGCTTGTTCACTTTGGTTTACTGGGCGGCGCCTAATTAGGTGCGTCTGCTGGTGAATGCAGAGCATTTTGTTCAGTGCATGTGCATCTGCACACTTTGTCTGCAATTAGCTTTGTGCCGCCCGCCCCAACATTGCCTGTTGCCGCCAGACCGTCGTCGCGCGGCCGCCGACCAAAAAATATCCCCACCAGCCCTTCCATAAATGAGTCCCAAGGGAGTGGAGGTTATGAGGGAAGCGGGGGAGCATGCCGAAGAACAAAGGGCGGGGTGAGCCGCCATATACCCCAAGAGGGGGAGGATTAGGAGGAACCGTCGTCGTCGGAGTAGGAGGAGGAAGAGGAGGAGCAGGAGGAGGAGCAGGAGCAGGAGGGGGAGGAGGAAGAGGAGGAAGATGAGGAGGATAAAATGGAGGACTGCGAGGACGAGGAGGACGAGAAGGAGGAAAAGGATAAGGAGGAGGAGGAGGAGGAGGAGGAGGAGGAGGAGGAGGAGAAGAGGAGGAGGAGGAGGAGGAGGAGAGGAGGAGGAGGAGGGGGAGGGGGAGGAGGGAGGAGGAAGAAAAAGAGGAGGACGAGGAAGAGGAGGAGGAGGAGGAGGAGGAGGAGGAGGAGGAGGAGGAGGACAATGGCGAGCTTTCGGGCCTCTTGGGCCGTCTTTGGGGCCTCTTGGCGGTCCCAGGGGCCTCTTGCGTATATCGGGGAGCCTCTTGTGGCCTCTTGGGGGTCTCTTGGGAGTTTTTTGAAGGCCTCTTGGGGGCCTCTTGGGGCCTCTTGGGGCCCTCTTGGGGCGCTCTTGGGAGCCTTCGGGGCGCTCTTGGGGCCATGTTCGAGGAGATCTAGCAAAGAAGGGGGGGTCGTATATTAGCGCTGCCCCTCTAGAGTGCCTCGAATCGCCTCTGAGGCCCTTCTTGAGGCCAAAATCCGTCCAAAACCTAAGGACAGTCAATGTTTTGTGTTTTTTCGTTTTTTCGCTCTTGGAGCCGTCTTGGGCCATCTTGGGAGCCTTGGGGCCTTTTGGGGCCCTCTTGGGGCGCTCTTGGGGCGCTCTTGGGAGCCTTCGGGGCGCTCTTGGGGCCATGTTGGAGGAGATCTAGCAAAGAAGGGGGGGTCGTATATTAGCGCTGCCCCTCTAGAGTGCCTCGAATCGCCTCTTGGGCCCCCCCAAGAGGCCAAAATCCTTCCAAACCGAAGGAAAGTCAATGTTTTGTGCTTTTTCGTTGTTTCGCTTTGGGAGCCGTCTTGGGCCATCTTGGGAGCCTTGGGGCCTCTTGGGGCCCTCTTGGGGCGCTCTTGGGAGCCTTCGGGGCGCTCTTGGGGCCATGTTCGAGGAGATCTAGCAAAGAAGGGGGGGTCGTATATTAGCGCTGCCCCTCTAGAGTGCCTCGAATCGCCTCTGAGGCCCTTCTTGAGGCCAAAATCCGTCCAAAACCTAAGGAAAGTCAATGTTTTGTGCTTTTTCGTTTTTTCGCTTTTGGAGCCGTCTTGGGCCATCTTGGACGTCCCAACGACCCGCGGAACCCCTTGTCCAGGTCGGTGGGGAGGGGTCAGGGGAGGGGTAAACCCCTCCCCGAAGGGAAAGAAGGGGGTTGGCAGAGGAAACGCTCTAGACCACCTACGCCCTAAAGGGCTGGTGAGATTCTGGTTAAAAGCGGAACCCCCGCCTGAATAGCAGGCCGTGAGTCGCTCGTCTCTCAAGGGAGGGACACCTGTAGTGAAAAGGAATGCCTGCAGGCACTCATGAGGCGGGGATCTGGTACGGGAGAGTGGCTTGCAGCATCGCCGATGCATTCTGAGTTTGCTCTGGTCCTCCCCCTCCTCGCCCTCCTCCTGCCCTCTCACCCCTGCCTTTGTCCTCCCTTCCGCACCCCTGCCCGCGGCCGCGACCCAGAGAGGCGAACTTGAGGGCCGGGCGCGCGGCGCTCCGCGTGTCGGCAGGCGTGGCGCACCCTTGTCGGGGCGAGGGGGCGGGGGTGCCGGCTGCTGCTGCGGCTTCTCTGGTCCTTAGGAGCCCCCCTCGTCGCCACGCCTGGGCGCGGACTTGGGGCCAGAGTGGTGCCTGGGAGGGGTCTGGGGAGGGCGGCTGGTTCTGAGCCAAGTTGGGAGGAGCGGCAGGAACCCCGACTTCCTGACGCCGAGTAGAAACCACAACGGGCGGCTGCACCTCGTTTCGGATTTCTTGAGGGCCATCGCGGAGCGGTCCACATCGAAATATGCCATGGGCAAACTCGACGCACCGATGCGACGGCCCAGGGAAAGGCACAAGTAAAGCGGATGAGTATGAAAGTGGGGAGGAGGAGGAGGAGGAGGAGGAGGAGGAGGACGACGATGAGCACGACGAGGCAAAGAAGTGGAGGACACGGAGGGGTGTCAGGCACATGCGGAGCCGCGGAGGAAAATGAGTGTAGTGCTTGGCTGGAGGGTGGTGGGCATGATTTGTGGTTTGGCAGCTGGCGTGCCTTCGGGATTTGCCCCACAGCATCGACTCATGTTCAGTCGACCTCAGTTGGGTCCCAGCCTCGTTTTGTCCCTGCCCGACGGTGGTCGGGTTGACCCAAAAGGGGGTCCAGCGACAAGCGGGTGGTGCAATAGATTTGGTGCAATAGATATCTGGAGTTGCGATACATTTTGGGCGTGCAATACTATCCGTGGCGCAAACGTATTGCTGGATTTTCGCGTGAAATGCATTACTTGCAATACAATGCAATAGCATTCTCCGGCGCTTTACATCTGCTATACAACTGCTACAATATTAGTGCACCACCCCCTTTCAGCTGGACCCTCTTTTGGGTCACCCAAAGGTGGCTGCAGCGACAGAGGCGGAAGCCCAGTTCCATGATCCACGGTTGGTAGTCCCAGCGGGCCAGTTACCAGCGAGAGAGATCAAACGGCCTCAAAGGGCCTTCCGCCAGTGTCCAGACAGGGATGCACTGTACTCCTTCAACGACGTCCTTGCCGTGCATGCAAAGCTGAATGTGGCATGCGACGTCTTCATTGCGGTGAGAGCAGGACAGGGTCTGAGCTATACATCCGCTCCGGTTTAGCGCTCGGTCTGGAGAGGCGCAGGTTTTGACCGCCCCCAACTTGTCCGCAGCCTCGTTCTCCTCTTCCTTCCTCCAACGTCGCTCCTCCTTCACAATTACATAATCTGAATACTACTCTCCTCTCTCCCCTGATGACGTGCGGAAGATATCCGGCCCCCCTTCGCGCATCGTTTTTTTGCACGCAGGACTCCCAGGAAACAGGTTGTCGCTGGGTTTTTGTTTCAAAATGTTGCTCCCGCTGAAGCGCCGGCCTCATGTTCAGGCTTCCGCTTGTTCCGAATCGAGCTCCCGCTGCAGCGTTGGTCTCATTTGCGCGCTTCCGCTCGTTCCGAACCGTGCTTCCGCTGCAGCGCTGGCCTTCCTTCCAAATAGTCCCCGAAAACTAGAAAATTGCTCTTCGAAATAAACCATTGGACGTGATTCCACATTCGGCCGCAGAAGCCCCCCCCACTTGGGGGCGTCGTCGCTTTCAGGAAGTATCAAGCAGGAGCCCCGTTTACGTTCTGAGAAGGCGATGCTGGAAGCAGAGCCAGCGGGTGCTCTCCTTCAGCCCCGCCTTGTGTAGAGCTTTTCGGGGAGCCTAAAAAGCTAGACATGGGGCCACGATTCCAGACCGGCCCAGACCTCTCGAAGGCTATCCACCGACCTTTTAAATAACTTGGCGCCGTGACATGACATGTTGGGCGGTGTTGTGTTCTGCGCCGTTGTGCGATGCCATATTGTGTGTTGCAATGCTTTGCGAAGCAAAGTTTCACTGCGCAACGCCACGCCGTGCATCGAGTACCCTCTCGCGATCATTGCCTTGCTCGACATCCGACTGTGCGAATAGGGAGGAGATCTTCGCCATGGCAAGGGATGGAAGGGACGGGTAGGACGTCAGATCTGACGCCAGCGCACCTAGCTTGTCCTCCCCCCTCTTCGTGGCACATGGCCTATCGGGGGGCTCGGGACTGTCTTGTAGTCGGGGCCGTCTTGGGCGCAATGGTTCCGCCGAGCTCTCCCCAGTAGGCTCTGTTTATCCATCTTGGGGACGTTTGGGCGGTTCTTGGGGTCGTCGGTTTTCAGGCAGGCTTGGGGCCATCCAGGAGCCCTGTTGGGGCAGTTGTTCGGCCGTTTTGTGGGTTTCCCGTGTCGGGGCTCTCTGAATTTTTTGGAGGCGATCTAACGTCGAAACGCAGCGGAAGCAAAAGGCGCTGATATTGTTTATGTATTCCCTTGCGTTTCGCCTCTTGGAGACTCGCTGAACGTTTATTTGAACGTTGGCTTCCTGTGGCTTTCCTATGGCTTTGAAGGCTTAAAGGACTCTCGTCTTTTCGGGCTTCCGACAGGCCAAGACGGCCAAACAGGCTCGACAGATCGCCCCAAGACGGCCCATGAGGCCTCCAAGAGGGCCCCAAGACGGCCCAAGAGGGGCCCAGAGGAGCCCAAGAGGCTCCCGAGAGAGCGACCCTGGGCCCCGAGAGGGTCCAAAGACGGGCCAAGCCCCCCGAGATGGCCCAAGAGGCTCTTGAGACGGCCCGGGAGCCTCCCGAGAGGACACCTCAGACGGCCTAAGGAGGCATAACACATTGTTTGCGAAGGCCTTACGGCCGGTGCTGCGGGCCCTGAAGGAAGTCGTCGATTACCACGACCACGACCACGATGACCACGGCGACGACGAAAAACTTCCAAACACTGAAGGCATCTCGTTGATTTTGCCCTCTTGGAGGTCTCTTGGAAGTGCTCTTAGAGCTCTCTTGGACCACTTCGACCAAAACGTTCACAAGTTGAAGGAGCATCGTTGATTTTGCCGTCTCGGGGTTCTCTAGGCAGTGCTCTTGGAGCTCTCTTGGGGGCCTCTTGGGGCCTCTTGGGGAGCTTCTTGGGCGCCTCTTGGGGCCCCCTAGGTCTCAACCGATGGCAGCACACTAAGTCTGCATCGGGCGTGTAAGTGACTTGGTTATCTCGGTAATCCCGTAAAAGATACGCAACCTTTTCCTGTGACTCAGGGGCCCCTGAACATCAAACGGCAGCGGTACAGCAACAATCGCAATCTGTGCTAATATACATTCCAACCGACACTACGCACAAACGATAAACTCAATAAAACAGGGGTGATATTGGCACGGGCGGAAAAAGGAGTTAGCACAGATACTCTACAAATCACACTGCCTAAACTCAGGGCTCCCCGGACATTTACCAGGAGACTCTAACTGCAAATTCAAACTAACGCTGAAAACTCCAAGCTTTCGGGAACGGGACCGAAATTAAAACACAGATAAGCATCACTGTCACCGCAGGTCCCCTGCACAAACCAGTCAGACTCGACTGTGAAACACACCGGCGGTCGCGTCAGCGACACATATATCCCCTTAATTATCTCAGCACGCCGGGCGATCGGTCGATCTCGCCAGGCAAGCAAGTCCGCGCCTCGCGGGCGCTCAGCAAGGTGTACATCACGATGCACATCAGCTCCTGCGGCAGCGCCGCCACGTCGCCATAGGCTGGGTCCACGTCATCTTCTTCTATCCGAAGAATCTCAATGTGCGTACTCGGGCAGCGGCTGGAACCTCGGCGTCTGCACGTCCTGGTTGTAGCGGAACTGAGACTGGCACATCATGTGGCGCACGCACTTTCTTCTGGCGAGGCTGCTTGGTGTTCACGCCTGTCGTCATCATCTCGGTCACCTCGGCGTCGCGCTTCTCCGTCTTGCTGGGGTTCGGCTCGGTCTCTGGCTCCAGCGGCTTGATGCTTTTCTGCTCCGTGTCCGTGGTAGTCCAGCGTGTCCAGCAGGTGCCGACCCAGAATCCACAGCCCAAAGCCACGGCATCGCCATCATGAGTCCGAACATGGCCAGCTTCATCAGCAGAGTATTCCAGTCGTCGTTGGTCGGTGGGTTCAACAGCTCGACGCCGCTGGGCGTATACTGCACCAACTCAGCTCCAGAGCCTGTCGCTCCAGTAGCCGCCAACGTAGCTGGCAAACGAGCTCCACTCGCGCCACAATGGCGCGTCTTGGCCTTGGCCCTCGCCTTCGCCACGGGCTCCTTCTCGAAGGTGTCGAGCAACTCTTCTCCTGCCTGGTCCAGCCCCTTCTCGCGTTGCTCCATCGCGCGCTTGGTGAGCTTTTTGCCGGCCACGAAGTCGGGGTCGTAGCGCAAGGCGTGACGGCGCAACACATCTGCCATCATCTGACGTGCCGAAAGCTTGGTGAGCCCGTCCGCCATCTGCTGCTGGGTGTTCACCCATTTCCACTTAGCGTTGACCTCCGCCAGCTGCTCGTTCACGATATTCACCTCGATGGCCGTCCTCTTCTCCGCGATGCCCAATCCCGCCGTAGCTGACCGCGAGGCGTCGTAGAGGCACTTAGCGTCTGCGATGAACGGCGACTATCCGAGGTATGTCATGGCGGCGTCGTGTCCGAGGTCAGGCCTTAGACTCAGGGCCAAAAAGACCTTCACCCACATCAGCGAGTCAGCTCCCATCGCCGCGGCCTGCGCCTCGGCGGACAATGAGCTCCTGCACAGCCGCACCAGCTTCTTCGAGGCCCACTCCATGGCCACGAATGGCGTCGGGGTGCCGGCGTTGAGCTCGTCCTCGGGTCCGACGAAGATCTGATAGCTTCCCTGGGAACTTCCGTCAGGTCGGCTAGCCCAGCTCGCATCTGAGTAGCCTCCAACGCGCAATTCACTCCACGGCTTGTCGAAGCCGAAGTACAACCCCACGTCCGCGTTGGCCTTCAGGAGCCGTAGATCCTTGTCGCGCCCAGCAAGGCCTGCACCGTCGCGTGTCCAGTTGCCGCGGCTCTGAACGATACGGTCGCCGCCGCGATGAGAACCCCCTGGGCAGCCGGCCACTGCAGCTGGCCGTTCAGGGTCCTGAAACTGGTGAGCTCCTTTGGCGACAGCGCACTGGTGGGATCTGCCCGCCGGTGCCTCTCCACGGTGATGGGCTTCACCACGTGCAGGTACTTCTCGAACTTGATGGTGGCCGCGTAGGTGCTCAGGGACTGCTCCACCTCGCCGCCGGTGAAGACTAGGCTCGGCCCGAACTCCCGCTTGCAAAACTTGAACTTCTCATTGAGCGTGCCCGGCCGCGCCTGGATGCATTCGGCATCGTCCAGCTTGGCGTGCAGGTCATCCTCGCAACTCACGTTCTCGCCGCAGCCGATGAAGTCGCCCGCGTGCTTGCCGATCAACCCGTCCACCACGAACGTCTGGCCGTCGAAGCTGCGCGCGTCGAACGGGTCGTCCGAGGGTCGCGCGGCCCGCAAGGGCAGCAGCGAGCAATTCTCGAGCCAGCGGTTCTTGAACCCGATCTCCTTCGTGACTTCGTCGGAGCGGTGGCGCCGGAGCTTGGGCGACCGCGGGTCCCCAAGGCACGGCTTGATCATATTGAGCAACTGTCTTGGCTGCAAGCCGATCTGGTGCGCAAGCATTTCCCTCATCTCCTTCGTCGGGCTCGCGCACAGCTTGATGCCGTGAGCGCTGACGTCCTCGGCCTGCAAGAACGCAGACTTCACATCCGCAGCGAACAACCTCCACTTCCTCGAGGCCGCCCAGAGCATGACCGCGTGCCGGCCAAGCCTGCTCAAAGCGGGCGCCTCCTTGTCGAGCTGGCCCTCGACGACGTCGCGGTGCTTGAAGCCTGGTAGAGCACTCGCGCGTTGGCCACTCTCTGCCCGTCCTTCACCTTCCACTTCGGCAGGAAGCGTAGCGGACAGCACGCCGCTGGGTCCACCTCCGCCTCGTCGATGGGCCCCCAGCCGTCGTTCTTGTTGAACACCTCGAGGGCTCCCAGCTTCGCCGCGTAGAACTGCTCCCGCTCCTCGGATGTGAGCACCCCCATCCACGATGGTGGGAACCTTCCTCTTGAAAGCCAGCATGTAGATCGTCTCGGTGGATTCCTCCAATCGTCGCCCACATCCTCGATGAGACACGACTCCTCCTGCTGGGGGCGCGAGCTTGGCCCGCGACATGCGGGCGCGTTTTGCCGACGGGATGCCGTCCAGCTTCTCAGCCTCCTCGATGCTCCTCTTGGCCATCGCCGCGATGTGGGCTCTGCTCGGCTCCCTCGTCGCGTTGCCACGCCCCCGCGCAGCGCTGGCCCATGAAGGTGCAGGGCCTGGGGCCGCCTCCTCGCCAGCCTCGGCTGGCTGGGGGGCCTCGGGAGCTGCCGCGGCCGCCGCTCCACTCGGCCCCCGTCGTTCTTGCTTGATCTCCATCGCGGTGTCCCTGGGCGCCGGGCTGCTGCGCGCCCACGTCGTCCAGGGCGTCGTCGTACTGGGGCCGCTGGCCCCCCTCGGCGAGGTCACTGAAGCTGCAGGTCCCCTTGGTCCGCCTGAGCGCCCTCCTCAGCTTCTCGATGGTGCTGGGCGGGCTGTCGGGATCCTCGCGTCGCCCTTCTCGTTCCCGGGTCTCGCTCGTCAGCTCGGGGCGGAGCTGCTGCGCCGTGCAGCGGTAGATCGTGCGCCCGTGCGTGACCCACACCACCGACGTGCGCATCGCGTCGTCCTCGTTGACCTTCGACTCCACCGCCACCACCAGCGCCGGGCCATGCCAATGGCACTTCTCCAGGCCCGTCGACATCTCGGGTCGCCAGAAGTAGACCCACTCGCCGATCTGGTACTCGCGGCGCGTCGGCCTGCTGCGCGCCAACAGCGCAGCTCGCGAGCGAGCAGTTGGCCTCGATGAAAGCCGCCCCCGCCGCAGCGCGCCTGACCATCATCTCGTGCACTTCGCTCTTGGGGTCGACCAGCGCGGCCTGCTCCGCCAGGCCGAAGTCCTCGTCGCACAGAGCGCCAGGTACCTTGGGCTGCGTGCCCAGCATCAGCGTCGCGGTGCTCCGCTGGCTGGCGGTCATCCTGAGCGCGGTCTTGTGCGAGTCGTCGGGAAACTGCAGGTGGCACTTGCTGAGCTGCTCCCTCCTGACCGCATGGTTGCGCCCCATGAGCCCAAGCTTGTGGTGCGCGCCCTTCGGGACCAGGTCGAGTGTAATGTTATGCTTGCTCATCCACTGGTGCATCTTTCATGACGTGTGCGAGCCTGCCATGTCCATCCTCATGGTGTCGGGCTTGCCGGCCCAGCTGATCCACAGCTTCTGAAACAGCTTCACCTCCTTCTTGAAAGTCTCCTTCGCGATCGGGTAGTCCACTTCGTAGCGCGTGAACTCGTCCATCAGAGCCAAGATCTCCCGCTCCATGTTCTTCCAGGTGACGTAGTAGACGTCGGTGTTCACGACCTCGTTGGACTTTTTAGCTTTTGGTAGTGCAGCCACGCGTACTGATCGAGGTCGCTGCCTGCTCAGGCAAACTTCACACTGGAAGAGCTTGGCGCACTGAATCCACTCTGCAGGGGCCTTCGCGTGCTTCATGGCGGTTGCCAGCGCCGCGTTGGAGGGGTGGCCCAGGCTGATATGAGCGCGCTTGACCGCCCTGATCGTCGACCCGTTGAAACGCTTCAGCAGCTCTTGCATTACGTCCGTGTACTCGATGGCGTCGACATCCTTGTAGACCTCCTCGGCGGTGTTGATATCCTCAATGTCGTCGGCCATGCCCTGGTAGGCGATCAGGTAGGCCATCCTTCGCGCCATCGGTCTCGGGTAATTCTGAGCCTGCTGGGCAAGCTTGCCGTGCAAGACCACGTGCTCCTCGGTGCAGCGGCACAGCGTGCTCATGTGGTGTATGAACTCCTTGTTCGTGGACTGGGGTCGCGTAGGCTTCTGGTACGGCATGAGCTCGTCCTTGATCTCGAACTTCGCGCCCAGCCTGCACTGGTCGAACCGGCAGTGGTATCCAGGTAGCTTCTGCCAGGTCTTGGTGTGCCAGTGTAGCCCTTGCCACGGGCTTCCTGCATACGCATGACGTCCACCATTCTGCTGCCTCGCGAACGAATCCCGAACCATCTTGAGAAACGTCCTCTCCTCTCGCTGTATGGTGAGGTTGATCTCCTTCGCGTGCTCCTCCGAGAGCTTCTCGTAGACATACTGCCAAGAGCGCCAGATCCTGCACGGGGGTGCGAAGAAGATGTCGTCGGGCTTCTCCTCATCGATCTTGTTTAAGAAGCAGCGAATCACGCTGGGCTTGGAAAAGTCCCAGCCGTCGGCTTGCCTGAACCGGACCACCTTGACCTGTGGGAACTCCAGCAGTTCCTCCGACAAATCCCCTTTGTCCACAAAGACCTCCCAGACCACGCGCTTGCGGGGTCCTCTGAGCGTATCCTTCATGTCGGTCTCCGCTTGCTCCAGGGCCAAGGTCAAGTCCGAGTAGGTGTCCGCATCCATGTCGGTGGGCCCTGCCTCCGCGAGCTCCTCGGTCGACAGCGCCTCGTCGTCGCTGCCGATGTCGTAAAACTCCGTGACGGTCTCGAGGTAGTAGGCGTCGGCGTCTGGCACCGACGAGTCGCTGCTCTCGTCGGTCTTGGCCTTCACCGAGCTCCCCTCCGAGTCCTTGTCCGTCGAATCGTCGCTGCTTTCCTCGCCGTCCGTGGGAGCGCCCTCGTTCATGGCGTCGTCCGCTTCCTTCCCGGCGCTGCCCAGCCGGTCGATGATGAAGTGGCCTTTCTCGTCACGCTCGGACTTCATCCAACCCTTGTCGGGGAGATCCTTCATCATGAACGTACCTGCCGGAAATTCCTGGATGAGACCCCACTCCTCCATGCAGGGCCTGGCGATGAGCAGCGGCGCCCACCCCTCGACGAGGTGGATGGCGACCTGCTTCTTGACGCCGAACGGCCACACCGTCAACGCCATTGCCTTCTTAGCCTCCAGCGTCTTCCCGTCTCCGAACCTGAACTGTCGGTCGCTCTTGTCATACTTGGCCTCGTGCAGCAACTGCTTCACTCGCAGCAGCTCCTCCCACTGCGCCCGGACCTCGTCACCCATGACGGGGCGCGTCGCGCCTCCGTCACTGATGCCCTTGCCGACGGTCAGCAGGAACACCTCCTCGGTCGAGTTCGCGTACTCCAGCGTCTCGATGTCCTCGACCATGCTGCCTGACTCGGTCTCCGTCCTGGCGAACCCGCCGCGACGAAACCTCTTGAACCTCGGGCCGTGCTGCTGTGTCGAGCCTGTCCCAGTCGATCCCGCACTCGGCGCTGCTTGAGGGCGGACGAACGGAGCTTTCGGGTATTTGAACACTGGTGGATCTCGTCGTGGCTGACCTGCCCCTTTGCCTTTGCCTTTGCCTTTTCCGCGTCCGCGTCCCTTACCTTTACCTGGTGCTCGAGTGGGTCGCGCCTCGCGCTGGTAGTTGTTGTCCGGCGCCACGGCGACGATCGGGTAAAAGCCTCGGGACTCCGCGATCTCAGCCACGCGGTTCTTTGCATCCACGAAACTCAGGTAGGCCTCGTCGCACGAGAGCTGAGCGTCCTCGACATCCTGCGGCAACACCTGCGATCTCGGCCTCCTCGTCTGCGCCCTCGTACTCGTACTCGTCTTCGTCCTCGTACTCTTCCTCCTCCAGGTGCGTGTCTTCGTAGCTCAGGTCTCGCCCCCACTCGTAGTCGTTCGTGTAATGAGCATCGTCCTTGGCGTTCTGTCCGAGCAGCATCGTCTCAACTCGCTTGATATCGCGCTTGTCGGGCAGACCTTCGGCTCCGTACGCGTCGAGCGAGGCTTTCCTCACCTTTTGCCAGCTGAGACCGTCTACGCATTGACTCCGAACCTGGGCGGCACCCGACGGCCGCTCTCGTGAGGAGGTGCCAGCCCGCCAGCATATCTGGGATCTCCATGCCTACTTCCTTCTGCTTCCTGAGGTCGCACTGATGGCGCAGGCAGCACAGCTTCATCGACTCCTTGTCCTTGCGGGCGAACCTGCCGAAAAACTGATCTGTCCGGGCTGGCAACTCAGTCTGATTGTCGTACTTATAGTACTCGTCCAGGACCTTGAACAGCGGCCTGAAGGCGTCGTCTGTCTCCAGCAGGTCCAGATCTATCTCCTCCGTAGCCTCTGCCGCCTCTCCTTGCAGCGAATTCATGACCAGGAAAGCCCCCTCGCTGATGGCGGTCGTGCCGCGCTTGCGGCTGCATCTCTCGAAGACCTCCAGATTGCGCCTGAAAAGTTTGTAGCCGTCGGTCTTCAGCAACTCGTAGCTCGGTGCTGTCTTTGACAGGCCTGCGTCAAGGCCTCTTCCCCCGTCCCAGGCCGAGCTCTCTTGGCGCCACCAATCTCCGCCTGTCCAGCCAGCCCGCTCCTCAGCGTAGGTGGCCTCGTCGCCCTCGCTGCCGGGGACCCGAGTGGTCGCGGCAGCAGGGTCCACGCCGCTGGCGGCCGAAGCGGCAGCGGCGGCAGGCGGCGGGGCGCCCGGCGGCTTCGCCGGCGGCGGACCTGGCGGCTTCGCCGGTACGCGGGGCGGCGCCTCGCCGGCGGGCATGGCGGCGGCGACTGGGGAGCCGGAGATGGGTGTGGATCTCCGGCTCCGCTACCAATCTCAACCGATGGCAGCACACTAAGTCTGTTTCGGGCGTGTAAGTGATTTGATTATCTCGATAATCTCGTAAAAAGATACGCAACCTTTTCCTGTGACTCAGGGGCCCCTAAACATCAAACGGCAGCAGTACAGCAACAATCGCAATCTGTGTTAATATGCAACCCAACTGACACTACACACAAACGATAAACTCAATAAAACAGGGGTGATCTTGACACTAGGGGCCCCTTGGGACGGAGGAGTCGAAATGTCGGTTGATGCTCTTCGCCCTTTCGGGAGCCTCTTGGGGACCTCTTGGGCCCTCATGGGGCCGCCTTGCACTCGTTTTAGGCAGTTTGGAGGCGCTTTCGGCAGCCTGTTTGGCCGTCCTGGGGCGATCCTTGGGGTCTTGAGGCGTCGGAAGCCTGGCGGAAAGGCGACGACGGGATCAACACTGAAAAACGCAGTGAAAGTTTATGACTATCTAGTCTTGGGTCCCTCTTAGGGGCTCCTCTTGGAGCCCTCTTGGAGCCCTCTTGGAGCCCTCTTGGGCCGTCTTGGGGGGTCCTGAGGCCGCCTCGAGGGCATTGCGAAGCGATCTTGGACTGTTTCAGGGCACCTTTAGAGGAAGCCACGTCTGGGAGGGAAGAAATCGAAGGGGAAGCTTCTCTCAGGGAGGGGTGTTCCCCCCAGGGGAGGGGTGGCGCACAACCCCCGGGACCCCCCCCGGGGCCCCCTTTCCTCCCCACGCCATATCCCCAGCGGGGAAGGGATCAAAGGGAAGGGGCTCCCCTTCGACTCGATTACGACGTTGCTCGAGTTCTCTTTGGCTGGAACGTTTGAGGAGGAGGACCCACGGACAGGGGATGAGTGGCGAGGGCGACGATGACGACGATTCAAACGGAAAATCCCCTCACACACACACGCGCCGACAGGGCAGTCGGATTTTCACATTGTGTATCATTGCTTTTGGGGAATTCTCGTCCTGCCCAGATCGGCCAAAGGCGGCTGTAAGGGCTTCCGGGATTGCCCCACGACGGCCCCAGAGGCTCCAAAGAGGTTCCAAAGAGGGCCACAGGACGGCCCCAGAGGGCTTCAAGACGGCCACAGAGAGCCCCAAGAGGGGCCAACGAGGGCCCCAAGAGGCCGCCCGAGAGGGCCATGGGAGGCTGCAAGGAGGGCACAAGCTGGCCCAAAGACGGCCCAAGACAGCCCAAGAGGCCCTCAGGACGGTCCAGAATGTTCCTAAGAGGATCCCCGAGACGGCCTGAGGAGGCAAACCGCATTGATCTTCCGAAGGTGTTTCATTGTTTTTCGCTTTTTCGGGCCCAGATCGGCCGAAGACAGCTCTGAGAGCATCCGACGGGCCAGCAGGCTATCAAAGGGCCCCAGGACTGCCCAAGACGGTCACGGAGAGCCCCAAGACGGCTCAAGATGGGCCCAAGAGGGCCCTAGAAAGTTCCCAAGAGAGCCCTGAGAGTGGCGCAGGAGGCCGCCAAGAGATCCGAAGAGGGCCACAAGACGGGTCAAGCACCCCAAGATGGCTCAAGAGGTCCTCAGAACGGCCCGAGAGGGCCCCAAGACCCCAAAGGGCCCTCCGGGTGACCCTCCCCCGGACGGCCCAGTGACGTACGCAGTTTTGACGCCAATGCTCCCAAGAGCACCAGTTGACTGGAAAGCTTTTCTGACACGAGTCGGCCACGTAAACAAGCTTTGAAAGCCAAGGGTCCCAAGAGCGAGCAGTGGCGCAGAAAGCTCTCAGCGCCAAGGCTCCCAAGAGCGAGCGGTGACGTAAGCAGCTCTACAAGCCAAGGCTCCCCGATCGGTGACGCAAGCAGCTCTTAACTCATTGTGACGTAGACAACTCTTCACACCAAGGCTCCCGAGAGCGAACGATGGCGTGAACAAGCTCTTCACACTAAGGTTCCAACGAGATCACGGTGACGTGAACAAGCTCTGAACGCCAATGCTCCCAAGAGCGAACGGTGAAATGAGCCCTCTAGGGCAAGTTTCTCAAGCGCTCTTTCCGTTCCCGTGCCAGCCCAGGTTTTCTAACACGCCCCCCACGTGCCGCTGGCACGATTGCGGATTCCGCTTTAGCGTATGTTCTTCACATGTTCAAGTTGTATTCGCGCACACAGCACATGATGCCATCACATGGCGCCATAACCAACGGCACCGCGCACGTGGTACCTCGTTATTTTTGCGCGCGCAGGCTTGGAAGCCACGCGAGACGGCAACTCCGCGGCCCCGGTCGCCGTGGAGGTCGGTGCCGCGTTGCAGGCCATCCTGGCGTGCGTCTCCATGGCCAGAACTCCCAGCGTCCAGCAGGACTGGCGCAGGGTGGCGCGGCCACGAAAGTCGAGGGAAGGCCTTCGGAACGGGCTGTGCTCCAGGCGTGCATGTAGCGCTCCGTATACTTCGCGAATTCTTGGCCCGTCCTGGGTTCATGTCGGCGCGCGAAGGGGGGCAGGGCGAGGGGCGAAGGCTTGCACAGAAGGACGGGGCCTTTTTCCAAAGGATCGTTCTTTTAACATCATGTGTCCCGCGGCTTCCCCAACCACCCGCACCTCCCACCCAACCTTCCCGCTCTTCGATTGCACAATGTGAATGCTATTCTCCTCTCCCCCGAAGACTCCCGAGAGGTGTCCTGGCGTCCTCCGCGTAATGTTTTTAACAGAATGCCGCCGCGTTGATCAATTTATTTGTTTCTTTCCAATCCAAACGTTTCAGTCCTCAGAATGTCGCTCCCGCTGCAGCGTCGGCTCCATGATCTCGTCCTCAGTCCTTCCAAATCATGTTCACGAGCGTTAACCTCATGTGATTGTTTCGGTTCTTCCAAATCGTGTTCCTGCTGCATCGTTGGCTTTTTCTTCGCGCTTCCAGTCCTTCCAAATCGTGCTCCCACTGCAGCGCTGATCTCATTTCCGCGGTTTCGGTCCTTCGAAATCGTACTGCTGCATGCGTCAGGGTCAAACGGATGTCTTCCAACGAGGCAGTCACTCAGTGGGCATGAACCCTTGTAGGGGCCTGTGAAGAGGGAGCTTGGAGGGAGGGTTTGTTCCAACATCGTTGATGATTCTTGGGTTTAGACTGGTCCTCCTCCTCCTCTTCCTCCTCCTCCTGCTCCTCCTGCTTCTCCTCCTCCTCCTCCTCCTCCTCCTCCTCCTCCTCCTCCTCTCTCTCTCTCTCGGCCGAAGAGTCATGCGACGCGGCCACCTTTCCTGCCCCCGCCGCACGGCTTAACCCGGTGGGGCGGGGGGGGGCGAATTAGGGAGAAGGTGAGAAATTGCAAATGGGGAAAAAGGTGAGAAGAGAACGACGGGTAAAACAAAGTGGTCGGCATCGAGCCGCGCCACACCTTGGATCCTCCCCTATGGTCCTCCCTCCCACAGTGAAGGTCTGAGGCGAAGGAGGAGTAGGTGAATGCGCAATGGAGCGGGGTGCGGCAGATTGACGGTAAAAAGAGCTGGCGCGGAGGTGGTTGCAGTAGCCTGCTTTGGGGGTGAGGCTGAGGGGTGCAGTTGTTATTCCCTTCTTGAGGTGGTGCAGCTACCTTGCTCTTTTGGAGTGGGGTCCTAACTGCACCTTCGCTCGGCCTGAAAGGGCAGGTGGAGGTTGATGGAGGAAACGGACGGCCCCTGACGGCCGTGAGCGATCTAGGACCACGCAGGCGGCAGCGCTGCAGACGGTGAGTGTGGCATGGTAGGCACTCGAGCAGGGTGGGGAGGTTATCAAAGTGAAAGCAGGTCGAGGAGGTAGTGCCAGTTGAATCGTGAGGTGCCTGGAGGTGCCCTAATGGCCACAGCTGCTGAGGTGAGGTGGGAGTGCCGTGATGGCTGCAGCTGCTGCTCCTGAGGTCCCGTCGGTGACAGCAGCTGTTGAAATGACAGTGCCCTGATGGCCGCTGACACGTGCTAGTTGTGGCCGCGGCCGCCCTGGCCTTTGCCAGGACGGCCCGCGGTGAGTCCGAGCCCCCGCCTAACCCACTATCCTCGCCCATCCCGACCTCCCAGGCGGCAGCGCTGCAGGCGGTGTGCGAGGCATGGTAGGCACGCGAGGAGGGTAGAGAGGAAGTCAAACGAGGAAGGGAGGACTGTGAGGTGCCTGGAGGTTCCCTAATGGCCGCAGCTGCTGAGGTGAGATAGGAGTGCCCTGATGGCTGCAGCTGCTGCTCCTGCGGTCTTGTTGTTGACAACAGCTGCTGGGATGAAGGTGCCCTGATGGCCGCTGACACGTGGTTAGTTGCGGCCGCGGCTGCCCTGGCCCTTGCCAGGACGGCCCGCGGTGAGTCCGAGCCCCACCTTCTCCAATACCCTCGCCCACCCCGACAGCCCAGGCGACCACGCTGCAGGCGGTGAGTGTGGCATGGTAGGCAAAACGAGGGAGGGAGGAGTGTGAGGTGCCTGGAGGTGCCCTAATGGCCGCAGCTGCCGAGGTGAGGTGAGAGTGCCCTGATGGCTGCAGCTGCTGCTCCTGCGGTCCCGTTGGTGACAGCAGCTGCTGAGATAAAGCTGCCCTGATGGCCGCTGGCACTTGGCTAGTTGCGGCCGCGGCCGCCCTGGCCCTTGTCAGGACGGCCCGCAGTAAGTCCGAGCCCCCACCTTTCCCAATATCCCCGCCCATCCCGACCACAAGAGGGGGGTGAAGGTTAACAGGACGAGGCGCGAGGACCAGGAAGGTGGTGCAGGTTGGGAGGGAAGGTGGGTTCAGGTCCCGAAACTGAAGTAGGCGGCGCAATTGAGGTAGTCGCCGCATCCTAGACATTGCTGCCATTTGTCCGTCCACTGCCGCAGGTGAGGGAGGTGAGGATGTAGATGCGCTCGGAGATGACGGGATCGCACGGTCAGCCGCTGTAAGGTCGGTCCGACCCTGAGGCGTGGCCTCAGTGTAGCGGCGTCCAGGTGGGGTGATCTTGGTTCGTTCGGAGAGGATAGAGTGCGGGAGTTGTGGAGATAATCAGGGTGTGAGCGGGAGAGGTCGGTTGGAGCGTAGGTCGGAGAGGTTGGAAGGACATGGTGGTCTTGCTGTGACGGCGTCGGGCGCGTGGGCACCTCGTTCGGCCGAGGAACTTGGACGCGGATTCCTTGACCGTGGTGATTTCCTTCTGGATGCCGAGGGCCTGGTTGTAGCTGACGCGTTGTTCCCCTACCATCTTGGTGAGGATGTACAGCTTCTCCTGGATGTCGTTGCATTGGGAGCGGTGCCCGGTGATGATATCTGACAGCAGGGCTTGTTTGGTACTTCGCACGCTATTGGTCTGAGTGACGGAGCCCCGTGCCCATAGGTCCTTGTTGCTGTTGTAGGACACGTTGCTGCCGCCCTCGTTCACCGTGATGGTGCCGTGTGCGATGGAGACCTGCAGCTTGGTGTGGTACGGGTGGTGTACGATTGCTCCCATGGGGAAAGTGATTGTGTCGGGCTTGAGCTTCCCGTGTGTGATCTTCGTGATGGGGAACCATACAGTGGGCTTCTGCGGTTCGACTTGCATGGCAGGTGGTTGGTTGTCGTTTGCGGCTGGTGTGCTGTCGCTGGACGTCAGGTCGGAGCTGCTGGGTTCGGTAGTGGGCATGTGTCGCTCCCCAGAATCATGCTCCTGCTGTATGGTCTTGCCCTCGTTGTCGATCATGCGAGTAGGCTGTTCTGCTGTTTCCTCTCTGACGGTCGGCAGGGTAGGTGGGGCGTTGTATCTCGCTGGCTTCGCTCCTGAGATGTGCCCGCTATGAGGGAATGCTTGGTGCTCTTGATTGGGAGTCGTTCGTGAGGGTGTGGTTGCTGACGTTGTGCTAGTGGTTGCGTCGCTACTGCTCGTAGGTGTTTCGTTGTCCGATCGGTGGGCTGTATTGTTGATTGCTGTCGGCGTTGTGGCTTCCGTCTTGTGCGTTGTCTGTCCCTGCGAGGCTGGCTCTCGCGTCGGTAATATCTCGATGTGTATCTCGCGCTCGAAGGTATTGACTTCGTCGCATGGTGCGACTATTGGTTTTGCGCTGCGCGGCTGCTTGATGCGATGGATGATGTGGCTTGCGCGTGGAGGGCGTGGGCCTCCCTCTCGCACGGGTGCGACCACGAGCATGTGTTGCCGAGTGTGAGGAATGGCCTGGAGTCCTTCTTGACCTTGAGGTGGGAGAAAAGCGCCGCCTGCGAGGTCGCTGCATCATTGATGTGTTCGGTCAACCCATTCTTGTGCTTCTGGTTCCTGTTGGTATTGGGTCCTCAGTTTGTCGAGTAGGTCGCGGATGGTTTGCGTCGTAGCTGCGTCGGTCTGCTTTCGTTTAACAGGGAACTCTGGCATAGGAGGGCGGTCATTGAGGGAGGGGGGAAAGTTGGAAAGTGCGCCAGTGGATCTCCCTGAAGACACTAAAGGGGGGGGGGGTCCAGAACCCCTCCCTCCCTTTCTTCAAAGGGGGGGGGAGGGGGTCCGGACACCCCCCTCGCCTCCCCCCCTTGAGAGGGGGAGGGGGGGGGGTCCGATCCCTCCGCCCCCCCCTCACTTGAAGGGGGGGGGGGGTTCCGGAACCCCACCCCTCCTCCTTGGCGCTGAAAGGGGGGGGGAGTTCGAACCCCCCCTTCCCTCCCTACCTTTGCGCCGGAAAGGAAGCCGGGGAGGGGGGGCCTCTGTCGCTTCTCCTTTTTGCGCCAGAGAAGGTGTGTAGGGAGTACGGAGTTGGGAGTAGGGAGTGGTGAGTAGTGAGTAGTGAGTTAATGCGTAGTGAGTAGTGAGTATTGGGTAGTGAGTAGTGGGTAGTGAGTGGCGAGTAGGGAGTACGGAGTAGGGAGTGGGGAGTAGTGAGTAGTGAATAGTGAGTAGTGTGTTCTGGTAAATGAGTAGTGAGTGGCGAGTAGTGAATAGTGAGTTGTGAGAAGCGAGTAGTGAGTAGTGAGTACTGAGTAGGGAGTAGGGCGTACTGCGTAGTGGGTAGTGAGTAGTGGGTAGTGAGTAGTGGGTGTCGAGTAGTGATTAGTGAGTAGTGAGTAGTGGGTAGTGCGTAGTGCGTAGTGAGTAGTGAGTAGTGAGTAGTGAGTAGTGAGTAGTGAATAGTGAGTAGTGAGTAGTGAGTAGTGAGTAGTGAGTAGAGAGTAGCGAGTAGCGAGTAGTGAGTAGTGAGTAGTGAGTACTGAGTACTGGGTAGTACGTTGTGAGTAGTGAGTAGTGAGTAGTGAGTAGTGAGTAGTGAGTAGTGATGAATAGAGAGTAGTGGGTAGTGGCAGCGGGTAGTGTGTAGTGAGTAGCGAGTAGGGAGTAGCGAGTAGTGAGTAGTGAGGAGCGAGTACGGCATAGTGAGTAGCGAGTAGACAGTAGTCAGTAG